ATGCTCATATTTTCGCAGTACGTGGGACAAGCACAGACTATAATTAGCCTCATGTTAGTTAAGGTCAGGGTTTGCTGCCAAGTGAGCTTACTTCAAATCTGTCTTTTATAAAATCTTTTAAGGATTCCCTCCCCTCTTAATGTTCAAGGGTTTCATGGATTTTAAAACTGCAGATGAGGCCTGCAGAGTTATTCTGTTCTGGAGCACGGCTGAAGCCACAGGTGCTGTATACATCATATCTACGCTCTCCAGGTAGTGCTCCATTTTGGGCACCACATTAGCATGGCAGGCAGAATACAAAAAGGGGACCCTGCTCCTTAGGGTAAATGTCGGCCATCCCCTCAGCTGGACTCTGTGCAGCGCACAACCAGACCCGCTGCCCCTGACCCTGTCATCTCCAGGCTTCTGAAAGAATGAGCAATGGTGTGAGGTGTCCTCCCTCAAAACTTAACCTCCGAGCCGAGCTCTCCACCTTTGTCATGGTGTGTTCACAGGGAACCTCTTAAAACACAGGGGACTAGATAATGTCAGAACAGTGAGTGTTAGCAAGTAACATCCCTGTTGCTGGCCCGCAGAATGCACTTTGAGTCTTGAGGTGCAGGAACCTCTTCTTGGTGTCCCCGAATGCCCGTCTTCACTCATCATGCCCTTCCCTCTGTCAGTTTCCACCTGTGATTCCCATCAACAGCCATGTGTCAGCCCTCCCTGCCCCCATACTCTTCAGTTCCCGAGGGCCTTGGGTTCCACCCCCTTCTGTTCTCATCTATGTAAAAACTCAGGTTCCCAGCCTTGGTGCTGCAGACCCTGGGAGCCAGGCAATTATTTGCTGTGGGGATTGGTCTGCAGGGATCTCATATCCCCTTGGGTTGGGACCACTTCTCCAATCTCTCACCTTCCCTCCACCCCTTGGGCCACTCTTTGCCAAGCAGAATTTGGTGTTTCATCTGTGTATAAATCAGCTATCCTCTGACACAAGCCCACAAGGGCCAGGACAGTGAGGAATGCAACCTAACGCAGAATCAGACTTTCCTAGAATGGTAACAGTTTTTTTGCTATTTATTTATTTGGCAACCTGCTTGTGCGGCTCACTGTGTGAACTTTGCAGATGAGAACATTAAGCCTGAATGAATGTCAAAAGGTTGGGCTGGTGTGCTAGTATCTGCAAAGATCTCTGCATTCTCCGTTGATGGAGTATTTCATGTTTTCTGCCCCTGGCAATGGGTCTGACCTTGGTGGATGCCCTCTGCCTTTGAGTGAGTGTGTGAATAATTTTCTGCACAGCTGCTGGCTCCTAGGGATGGTGGTGAAGGGAGGCCGGGATGTCCCAGGCTCTTTGTTACTCACGGAGCTGCCCCAGTACAGAAGTGTGCAGTGGCTTGGGCCTGCCACTCTGAGGGATGTCTGTAGATGGAGACCCTGAGTAACTAGAGCTAACACACTCTAACACCCTCTCACTGACCACCGGCCTTGTTCTTTCCTTGGTTTTGTCTGGCCACTGGCCACTTCTTGAGAAGGTCCTTCGTGATAGCTAAATGGCTTCACCCCCACAGTTCTTGCTGTTCGACTCTGGGATGGGTGACATGAACATGGTCCCTTTCCCTGGGGCTGCCGCCCTGAAGGTTTGGCAGATGCTGAGGTGGGTGCTGCCCTCCAGCAGCACAGCTCGCCCTCACCATTTAAAATCTCTGGGACATGGCCTCCTAACTCACGACTTCCATTTGCCACTGGCGTTTTTATAAAGACCAGCCTTTCTAAATGGTCCACATTCAGTAACTTCCAGTCCAACAGTGTTTGACGGCAGTGCAATAGGCCACCAAGGCAGGGCTTTGTTTGGAAGAACTCACTCTGTAGACCAGACTGGCCTTGAACTCACACAGCTTTGCCTGCTCTGCCACCCGAGCACTGGGGTTAAAGGTGTGCGCCAGTACTGCTTGTTTTTATGAAAAGCACTGATGACTCTGCACAACCTACAGTAAGCTACCCATCGACGCAGGAAGGTCACTTCCCTTAGGTCAGCTCCAGAGCCCACACGGTGGGAGGGCCCGTTCCCGTGAGTGTTCTCCAACACCCACCCAAACTGTCACACACAGAAGTGCATAAAATGTAAATATAAATATATATATATCTTAAGGGCTGGGACCTCAGTGAGCTCTAGCCAGGCAAGCCTGACAGCTTGGGTTAGGATCCCCATGTCTCTGGTGGTTGGCGTCTTCTCCAAGTGTTTCCAGACTCTTGGCCTCTTAAGCAAAGAATTGGAAATAAGGGACAGATTTACATGGACTTGCAAAGAAGCAAGATAGCTTTATTCAGAGTGAAGTGAGAGTATGGATTAGAGGGGGTTGTGCTGCCAAGATTGACAGCAGGCCACCCGAGAGAGAGCTCAAACTCCGTCACTGCTTGGGGCTACGGAGGAGGGACTGGTGACTGAGGGGGATGATTTGGGAGTTCTCTTTTTTGATTGACAGGTTAGGTCATAATTCATTTTTCCCATAATGCATCCAATGTTAATGATGTGTACACCCGGTTAAGCATAGGCATGAAATGGTAAGCAGGGGCTTCTCCCTGAAAGGTCACAAGAGGATACATTTCTGCTTTACTGCGCACATAACCCAAACCAGCTCAGGCTGGATCACCCCTTCTGTTCTTCAGATACAGACACACTGGGAATACACTTGAACAAAAACTGTCTAAAACTGACTGTTACTATTGTTCAGGGCTATAGGTACCTGTAGCAAGATTAGGGTGAGGAGGGGCTGCTGAGGCTGCTAGGAGCATTGTTGGAGAGGGCTGCGTGTGTAGAGTGTATATAAGTGAACTAGGTTGCCAGATGTAATAGTACAAGGTTGTGTGTGTGTGTGTGTGTGTGTGTGTGTGTGTGTGTGATTCCAAACTCAACTCCTATGCTTGTGTCGCCAGAACCACTGAAATGCTGGAGGGTCTCCCAAGGTGCTCTGAGGCTGTGGGAAGACGGCAGGCAGAGACATTAGCCTCTGGCTCTGGAAGCCTCCGGTGACATGTGACAGCTAGATGGTGTGTGCTGCACTAAAACAATGAAAGCCCCTTTCTAAAACAAGGTAGATGGCACGAGCGGTGCCTCCGACCCCCACATGTGCTCTGGGATAGAAGTGCCACACACACCTATACACTTCTCATATACAAACACGACACAACACACACAGGAAATACATAGTTTGGGAAAAGTCACATTGAAAGCAAACATGCTAAGGCCCGGTGAGGTGCTAGGCCAGAGAGAGTAGCTCTGCAGGGAACACGCAAGCTGCAGTCTCTGCACTTTCTCCGATGTCCGATAGAGGCCGCCCGCAACACTAGCAAAATTTCCTGCTGATTGGCTGGCTGCAGACAGGAAGCCATTCAGCGCCTCTCTGACAGAAGCAGAGACAGCCAGGAAGGTCTTCGTTTGCTCCTCTTTCCATGGACCTGCACAGTGGCTCTGAAGGGACAGGGACAGATGCTGACAAGATGACATCTAGTCTGATTGACAGGCAATGCTTCCTACTCGTTTGAGATGACTGAGCCCTGTGAACTGGGCATTTCTCAACTCCAAGGGTAATAGTGACACCAGAAATGGGCTGGTGGCAAAAAGACAGCTGGCGAGTGGACACATTGGGGATCATACATAGGATGGATTAAAAGAGAACCGAGGGCTGAGTAGGAGGACTCAGTAAAGCGCTTACTATAACAGGCTTGGGGATGTGAGTTAGATCTCTGAAACTCACGTGAGGAAAAAATAGCTGGGCAAACAGAAATGTTCACTCGTAATCCCGACACTGGGCTGGCTCACCAGGCAGCCTGGCCAATGAGAGACTGTCAGAGAATAGTGGGTGGGCAGTATCTGAGGAATGATACTCAAGGTGGATCTCCGGACTCCATGCACACACACACACACACACGCACACGCACACGCACACGCACACGTGCGCACGCACACACACACACACACACACACACACACACGAGTTGTTTTTGGTTTTGTTTTTTTAAACAATGTCATACTGTCACACAGTTTTGTTCAGGCTTCCTCAAGCTCAGGGCAATCCTCCTGCCTCAGTGAGTGCTGGGATTATTAGGTTGCCAGCACATGAAGTTTACCTGAATCATGAACCAAATAAACATGCCCACCAAGTACCCACCTCAAGCGTTTTGTTATGGCAACAGAAAGCAGAGCAAGACAGTGCCAACTGTGATGTTAATTTTGACTGTCAGCTCGATGGGGATTTAGAATCAGGAGAACAGACCTCGAGGCCTGCCTGTGAAGAGTGTTTTCAGCTGAGATGATAAGACCAGTCTAAACGTGGGTGGCTTCAGGCCCTGGGCTGGGATTCTGAGCTGAGCAAAAAGGAGAAAGTGAGCTGAGCACCATCCCTCATTTTCAAATGCCTTTTGGGCACGGCTAATGTGACCAACTCACGGCCACCCCCCCGCCCCCCAGACTCTGTGTCCCTCACACCCTCACACCAAGAGCTAAAGCAGGCTCTTCTTTCTTTAAGTTGCTTCTGTCACATCCACAAGAAATGTAACCAAGACAACACTGTGAAGCCACAGAAGCGATGCGGCACATCAGAAAGGGACAGGGCGGCCTGTGCAGCATGGGGCTGTGGTTTCCTAGCTGAAAAGTGGGGATTTTCTCAGAGGGAGACACAGCCTGGTGTCAGGGCGGAGGGTGTGGCGACACTGGCTCTGCCACCGCCACAGGGGGCTTTTCCCTGCCTTGTTCTTGACCCCATGGCAGGGACACACTGACTAGTGGGGCCTTCCAGTGTGCACAGAAATCTTTCTGGAGAAAAGCAGAATGAAGCAAAGCCTCCGTCCATCTAGTCAGCAAGGAGAACCTTGGGAGCATCGCCATGACCAGCAGAGGTCTCCTCTCCACACTCCCACACATGAGCAAGGCACCAAGGCTGAAGGCACAGTCCAGCCCAGCCCACCCCATAGTCTTTCACAAATAGTCCACACACAGAAAACAGCTTCTTTTTATCCTTCAATTTAATTGAAGTTACTTAGAAAAATAATCAAGCTTGAATGGCTTTTCCTGGAGGAAGGTTCGGGAACATTTCACGAATCTGTTGGCAACATGGAATTCAGCTTCTTTAACAGTATAATAAGATGCAGGGAGAGAGTTCTTCAACAGGCCCTCAACTGCATACAAATAGGTAAAAAACACACAGTCCACAGCTTTGCTAAACTCTATGTCCATATGCCTTACTGAGCACGCTCAGAAGAGAACTCGGACACCACCTTCTGTACCTGAAGCGAACAGGCTGAAATCTGCCTGCTGCTGTCCAAGGGTTCAGCTGCTGCCCACTCAGAGGGTCTGTCTGTGCTGGGGAAAAGCTAGGGACGCTGGTGGGCAGAGCGTGGGGGAGTGATGGGGTCAGTCCTGCTGACGAAGAGGTGGGCCAAGGGGGTCAGGCACCGGGAGAGCACAGGCTGGGGCAATTTGTGTGTGTGTGTGTGTGTGTGTGTGTGTGTGTGTGTGTGTGTGTGTGTGCAAGCAAAGCCCGTGTGGTTTTGTCAGTTAAAGCAGGGTAGTAATGTCACCATTAGCCTATGAGCTAAGAGTCCCAGGCCCTTGCATGGTATCCAGGAGCGCTCTTGGAGCGTGGGCAGCTGGAGTGAAGTTTCTGGTTCTCGTAGTTCTCCTTGGGACTGAACAGGCCAAGCAGCAGAGAAAGGCTTGCGTGGGGACCAGGTGGCAAGGCCAGTCTGACACCTGGTCAGTGGGCTGCCCTGCGTCCCAGACCAGCTGAGAAAGGCACTGGGGGCGTGGAAGGCTATAGGGACTGTCAGCAGGGAACCGTGCCTGGTCCTCTAGGCTTTTCCAGTAGATGGGTAAGCTAAGCAGGCATGTCCTTGATGCTCTACCTGACCGTACCTGCTCCTGAAAGCACAGCTGCACCTTTGAACAGTGGCTTGGAGCCGGGACGCTGGCAGCTCCCTTTCTGCCTAAGCATGAGAGGCATGTGAGGCAAAGCTTTTTCAACATTTGTTCTTTCTTTCCTATAGAAAACACTTGGATTTCCAAGCACACTTCACCAATGGATGTCTTTAGTCAGGGACACAGAATACTTTCTACACTCTGCAAGAACAGTTGAACCAATACATATTTTAACAAATTGTCACTAGAAAATAAGATGTGAACACTAAACAAGACAAAGAGTCCCTCATCCCGGAAGCATATTGATACTTTCCCAGGGGACAATCTTTCTCACTTTAGAGAGAAATGGAGTAACTTCCATCTGCACACAGCGCTGTACCACAGACAAACAGAAATGCAAAACATGGAAATCAACATGAGTTTCCATTTAAAACCCCAAAGCACGCCGTGAACAGTTCCAAACCGTGGGTGGAAGTGAGAAGCATTTGTCACGAGGCCATCATCCCCACTGAGTGGGCTTTCAGGCCAGGAAGTGGGGTTATTTTTGTGTCCTTATACCACCTGCCCCCTCCCCAAAAAAACCTTCTTAGGCATCCCTCCCTCCTTGTGCTTGGAGGGCGGGATCACTGTCTGGGCAGTATGCAGATGGAGCCATTTACTTAGGTAAAGCGTAATTTGTCTCATGAAGTTCCCAGACAGGCCCTCGTTTCTGCTCATTTCTTTGTGGAGGGAGCTAGGAGCAGCTGTCAACCTTGGCAGACCTCAGACAGGCTAGATCACCCTCACCAAAGGCTACTGTGTGAAATGCCAACTAAGACATGATATGCCATACAAGACACCCAGGTCATGCAGCCCAGAAAAATACATTCTCCCAGGCTCACGAGGCAGACCATGTATTCAAGGCTCTGCAAAGTCTTGTGGAGAGGAACCTGACTTGATTTTGTATTCTAAGGATGTTTGACCATAAACCCTCCCGACAGACGTTATGGAGAGCCTGTGCTCTGCGGAGCGTGCATCAGCAGTGCAGGCCCAGGTTTTGAGGATACGCCCCCTCTAGTCCAGGGATGGCCAAGGTCTGTCACTGTTCTTGGTCAAACACACGTAATAAATCTATCTATCAAAGGCGAGGAAAGAGAAAGCGGGAAAGGTACCTGTGTTTTATAAATAGCTACAGCCAGCTTTGGCTCACATCTCCCTCACATTAAATAAAATAATTTCCTCAGTGAGACAGTGCGGCAGCTCATGCTGCTCCTGGGCTCACTGTGAGCCGGACAATACCATCTTAATAGTTTCTGTGAATAAATTATTCATTTTTTTGTTTTTCAGAATATTCTCACCCCTTCACTCTATACTGCATCAAAACAAACAAAAACCCCAATAAAAGCAAAGTTTACACCCTACCCCCTCTCCTATCATTAGAACGATTATATACAGCGTCTGCTACCTACCCGGACACTGGCTGTTATGGGAATGTGGCTCAAAGGTCAACAGAGAAACATCAGCAACAACTAGAAATGAAGAACAGGTTTGCGTGTTGACCAGCAAGGACCAGGAAACACCAAGTTTCCAGCCTTCTGGAGGAAAGGGAGGGCCTGGACACTCTGCTAATGCAGGGCGCGGGACAGTGTGCATGGGCCTGTGGGGACAATGGTCCACCCTCACACCTGATCTTCACCAATCCCCAAGCGTATGCAATCCACTCTTTTAAGTGGCAGGCAGGGCAAGATGTGGACTGGAGATCACAGTAGGAGGCACTTGAGAAACGTTCCCCTTCCCTTACCGAGGCAGACATCACTGATCAAATCACAGCACTCCTCCACTTTGTGTCTAGAGAATACTGAGGCTTACAGCTTCTGCTACCATGAAACTGCAGGAGATACACATGATCAAAAAGGTTTCTTTCACTTCTTGTGCTGGCAATGTACTTGGGCCTGATCCAAATGTGTGGTTTTCAAATTTGAGCTATGGAAAAATGCGAATTTGCCATGGTCATGGACTCTCTGGGCCTCTTGAGAATAGTCTACAGCCCACGTGAGGATCATAAGGATGGGGGCTGGTTCACTGTTGAGCTGCATGCTCTGTGTTCACATAAAGCTTGTTGAGGGCCAAGGCTCCTGGGTTCACTCAATGTTCTACCTGCAGGCAAGCCTGGAAAACAGTAGATGCTCAATAGCTACTAATGGAATTCAAAGCAACAGTTATTCTGCCTTCACTAGAACTGGAAAGTGCCGGTTAAAAATGTCCACAAAAAGCCTATTCTTATAGACTGCTAATTTTGGTGAACAGAAATTGCTATCATCTGCTTTCTCCTTGGGTTAAAACAATTTGCATTTCTTTACTGCCAGGGGCTTTGGGGTTGCTAGCAATCCGTTTGAACCAGTCTCATCCCTGTTCCTTAGTGCAAGGACAATTTACTTATTTCAAGCAGGGTTTCCTGAATGGTGGCATCCTCACATCCCAGCAGCTGTCACCATGCGATTCCACGGGAGGTTAGTGGGGAGACAATCAAGGCCCCCAAACGAGCCATAGCCAGGAAAGCACAGACTGTACCCTCTTCTAGAAAGACATGAGCAGTCTGCTCATGTAGAAACCTCTACAGAGACCACCTTTAAATAACTATAAATAAGATTCATTAGACTTTATGGAACACAGTTTGTGGACCACACCAGGACACAGACAGTGGAGACCGTGGAGACGGTGTCACAGGATCCCCTTCTGAAAACAGGGACAACCCACCCCGCTCTCCTGCAAAGACAGCGGTCCTTTCCCACGGAGGATTTAAATAATTCTACCATGCCGCTCGCAGCATCCCCCCAAAGACAGATTAATTTACAAAATAACCCAGTTATCCATAGAATTCTTTTGACAAATAAAAAAATCTTAAATTAAAAAGCAGGATTCTCTCCCTCTCCCCAACCACCCCTACACCCCTTCATTCCAATTTCAGGTAGTTTGGCACTGAGTAATTGAACATTAAAAAGTCCAGTTTGTAGACCTCGTACAGCTGCGTCTGGTGCTCGGCGCTGATGTTCTGGAAGAACTCGGTGGTCATCTCGTCGGTGGTTCTGGTGGACTTGGCATAGGTGGGGAACTTCAGGGCGCTGCCCGCCCCTGCCAGCTGCAGCACGTAATTGGAGTCCTCCTCCAGCGTCTCATACTTACCCACGAGGTCATAGTGGATGTGGCAGGGGTGGCAGAGGGAGTAGACGGTCTGCCAGTGCTCGTTGAAGGGCTCCTCCCGCTGCGTGTGGGGGTCGATGAGGTAGGCCACGAACTCCTCGAACTTGACGTCATCCCCCTTGCGCAGGGACTCCTGGGTGGCGTTCTTCCGCTGGCGCCTGATGATCTTGGTGCCGTAGCGCTTGTGGAAGGAGGTGTTGTACTTCTGCGTGAACTTGTTGCGGTAGGCAGACACCAGCCGCTCGAAGGGCTCCCGCACGAACAGGAACTTCATGTAGCTCTTCAAGCGGTGGTTGATCTCGGGGATGCTGTACTGATTGAGGGTCTTCAGGTTGGCCGACACGTGAGCCTCGTTGGCTGGGATCTCCATGGGGTCGCTGTACTTGCCGCGGCCACTCAGGACCATCATCAGCCTCTTCCAGTTGGTACACGCCACCTTGGGCACATAGCAGTAGATGAGTTCGTGGTCTTCATCCACCACCAGGTGCTTGAGGTCATTGGGGGTCAGCACCCTGCGCTTGCGGCTCATGGCGCTGTTGGCCCGGCAGGTGTCTGTCACTTGGTCCCGTCTCATCTGGTGCAGGATGGCAGTGTTGGACAGCTCCAGCTGCAGAGGGGACAGAAAAGGAAAGTTAGTGTTTACCTAGAACATTCCTACGTAGTTACAACGGAAGAGCTGTCCATTTGTTCCGAATGGTCATCTGGACCCTGCCAGATGCAAAGCTTGCTTCCTCAGGGTGAGGTGAGACTTGGCCTCTCTGCTTAGTGTTGGACTCCATGGAGGTCAGAAGGGAACGCTCGGGAGGATGTCTGTGTTCTCTGAGAACAAAAGCCCCTCCCCAAAGGAGTCTAAATGAGGAATTTTCTACATTAGATTGGCCTGTGGTCATGTCTGTAGGGGACTGTCTCCATTGTTAACTGACACAGGAAAACCTAGCCCACTGTGGGAAGCACTATTCCCTAGGCTGGTCTCTATACTACGTGAGAGGGGAAAAAAAGCCAGCAAGTGAGCAAGAAAACATTTATTTTCCCTCTGCTCTTGACTGAGTATGATTGCCATCATTTCCTCCCAGTGATGGACTATAGTCTGGAACTGTAAGGCAAATAAACCCCTTTTTTTCCCATTAACTTGCTTTTGGTAAGGATTTTTTTTTTTTAATCATAGCAACAGAAATGGCGCTAGAATGGCTAATCACTCTCAGTCAGAACCATCTCTTTTAGTTCACCCAGACAGGAAAATCTACTCTGCCCTGGTTGGCTCAGGGACCCTGTGGTGTGGTGGTCTATGGGTTAGCTTGGTATACTCTGCCTTTTACCTAGTTGGCTTGTGCTACATGGTCCCTTTTTAAATATAAAAGGGCTATGTCATCCTCTTGACTTTGAGGTTCTGGAAGAACTAGGGTCTGGGGCTATGTAGCAGCGCTCTTGTGGAAAGGCTCGTGTTCCTCTTCACACCAAGAACAACGTCCCCATTCGACATGTCTTTTGACCTCCACGGTCCACTGCCAACCTGCTCTTCCTGGCCTCACACTCACATCTCACCCTTTCTGAACAGAGGAGCACTCCCGAGAAACCACCTGTTCACTTTTCACTTTTGCCCCCGCGTTCCGTGGCTGGGTCCTGTCGGACTCCCCACTCTTCTCCGCTGACACAAACTTGGCTATTCTTCACAATCCGACATACTCTTCTCCCATACCGCAAAATAACATCCGTTTTCCGAACACCCTCAACTCTGGGTGTCCTTCACGGCACACCAGTCTACTTCATGGTTTCCCTGTGGTCACAGGCAACCAACTAATGGCAGTCTCATGGCCACTAGCTCTTTGGGCCAGAGTATAAGTGGCTTCAAGACCAGAGAATACAAGAGGATCAGCAGAATGTCCGAGTCACTGGACATGCATATCGGGGAGCCCAGGGCACAGGTGGGGCCTATGAAGCCAGACCTGAACCTCCAATACTGAACCACAACTTGTATGATTCAAGTTGTGCACAGGGCATATGGGATGGCCCAAAGGCAGGAAGGAACCCTGATTTCAGTGAGTCTTGCATGCCTGCTCTGTAGAAAGAAGGTATTTAAAACAGCAAAATGTAGTGTTTGGGTCACCTTCAAAGTTCAGCACAGTCCCTGTTCAGTCTAGGGACCCAATACTGCAGCTCACCTCCCAGTGACCTTACCTGATGGTACATATTTTCTTTCTCTGCTTATTTCTAACAAACTCAAGATGATAAGACAGAAATGAAGAGACCTGGGAGAGGAGCCTGGATGTCTACTCACAGGACAATGAAGAGTTATGACTGGCAACTTAAAAACCCATTAATGTCATGTCCACATCCTCCAGCTAGAGGAGGGCATTCTGGTCTCCAGCCAGGGCCCACAGTAGCCATAGTAACGGTCATAACTTTTTACAAATAACACACCCCCTGCACATTCCATGCACAATTCAGGAGCTGTCTGAGGGCTGAGCTAGCTGAGGGACAGCTCTCTGGGGACAGCAGAAGACAAATGGGTGAAGAAGACACGTTGACAGTTTGTTCCTTGTCACTGGGAGGGAGCATTGCTGCTTGCTGACCAGCCAGGCTCCATCAGCTTTTCCAGGAGGGTTTGTGGTCCTGTCAGTGAGCACCTGGAAAGTTAACTCCTAGCATTCCATTATCTCCCTTCTTCCTTTATTATTATTATTATTTTTTTTTTTTCATGAAAGGACTTGAGAGGATCATAGCAGAGGACTTGTGTGCGATTTTGGGAGTTGAGATTATGAGCTTATTTGGTTGTGAGCTTCTGAGCAATGGGGACAAAGGAGGGAATGAGATAGAATTTTCCTTGCTCTTGTTATCAAAGAGAAAAGCTTTTTAATTGTTTGTGAGCAGGAAATGCACCAGATCTAAGGGATTAAGGAAATTCAGTCAGGGATGGGGTTTTGGATTTAGTGTGCTCAGGATGGGGTCTTCAAAGGGCAGAGTCTTTGGCTGACTGAGTGCCAATGTTGGGGTTCACTCCTGCTTGCCTACAGAATGTGGTGATGTGCTCAGTCCCTGATTCCTCTCAAGGAAGAAGCCCACTGAGGGCCTTTCAGAGATGGCAGGATCCATGAAAAGAACACCTATCCGGTGAAGCAGCTCTCACCCCAGCCCTGCCACTCTTTCCTGAACCAGCTCTCCTCAGCACTGGTGATCCTTTATGCTAGCACTTCTCAAACTTGGGCACATGTGGGAGTCACCCTGAGGGCTTGTTCCTGCACTGCCTGGCTTTCAGCCAGAGCTGGAGACATGCAGGGCAGGGGGTCTGCCAGCGTTCCTCTGCTAAGACTGCAAGAAGCCATGGAGTGAGGCTTCAGCCACAGCGGTGTGTTTCCCAGTAGTGGAGTCTGAAGTCTGAGACGAAGTCCCCCAGGGTGGCGTTCCGAGAAGCTTCATTCCTGGCCTCTCCTGCTGCCTCTTTACATTCTCCTCTGCCTGGACAGATACCCTGAACCAGCATGCTGTTGAAGCAGCTCCTGTTTTCCTTGATGGCATCTTTAAAGACCCTGTCTCCAACTACAGTGACCTCCTGGGGTCTTCCTGGCTGGAAGATTTAACATGAGTTGGAGTTCGAGAGATAATTCAAGTGAATGCCAAGTGCTGCTGCTGTGCTGGACCACGCTTTGAGAGCTGCAGATCTGCGCTATGTGGAAATGACAGTATTCTAACATCTTGGACCAATTCACAGCCACCCTTAATGACAGAACACAGAACACAGTTCACTGTCAGATGCCGAGGGACTCAACCCTCGCCTTGCCACCAACCCCTTTCATCTCCCTGTGATGCCCTCAAAGTATAGGGCAGAGCCTAGGATGTCCTGAACACAGCTCCTGGTTTTGGGCTGCATCCGGCATGCATGATTTGATGTCTATTTTTAATTTGGCTGCTTTGAAAGGGAACTGTAATTAGTTTGAGGACCAAGCTCAGGGCTTGTTTTAAGAAGTCTTTAAAGTTTTACTGTATTTCATCTGAAAAGGAAGAGCCAGTCTGCCCTGTGAGGTCTGCAGTCTCCCTGGAGTAACACTCACACCACGGCCAGCAGCACCCACCTCCCTGCCTACGGCCAGGGAGACGCAGGGAAATGGAAAGCCTGATAAAGAGGCTAACTCAGAAGCCCCCCTACTTGCTGTAACTGCTGGCATGTGTCCAGGCTGCTTCCTAATTAAAAAGTCAGAATGTGAGGTTTGTGGGGATGGCTCTGCTGGTGACATGCTTGCCTGTGAGTAAGACAGCCCAAGTTCATTCCCTGAAACCTGCTTTTAAGAAAAGCTGAGCACGGCAGTGCATGCTTGTAATCCCAGCAAGGTGGAGCTGAGCCAGCCCTTCCCTGCATTCCCGTGGTACTGCTGTTACCTGCTGTCCTGGGTTTCAGGGATGGAAAAAAACCAGCGTGGATTCGCTGTAGAAACCACAGCCCTAGCAAACACAAACGCCACCGCGTCTGTTGGTTGCACTGGAGCCCTTAGTGCACAGGAGTCACTGCAGAGCCTCACAGACACATGTCTACCCCTGCACCACCTGCACCACTGCCCTCTGGTCTCTGAAGCAGGTATCATCAGCATTTCTACCCTATGGAGAAGGAAACTGAGGCACAGGGCAAGAAGCAGATTGTTCAAGGTCCTAGAGATAGAAACTGAGGCTGGAGTCTGCGTGCTGGAAGACAGCTCTGAGACACTGCCTGTGGCTCCTGAGGTCTGAAGACACACCTGGGGCTCCCATTGCTGGTTAGCCACACAGGGACTCCATCCTGGCAGCTCAGAGCCATCATGGGGGGCTGCTCACAGCCCTGTTACGCTGGGTCCTACTCCTACCCCAGAGGTCAGCTATAACTTCTGTGGCGGCTGCCAGCGGTCCTAGGGTCCTAGTACCACCAAGATAGGAACTGCAGCTTCAGAGGGCCCAAAATAAGCAGGGCTGGACCAAGCTTCACTGGACTGGTGGGGGCTGCCTGGAACCAGCTGGTGTCCTCCTTGGCATCTGAGGGCTATAAGGCTCACAAGGAAGTGCCCTCTTGGTCCCCCTGCTGCACCCATCTTAGCTGCTCAGTTTAAGGACCCTGGAAAAAGAAAAGCCAGATGAAACCAGCCAGTGTGTGAGCATCCTGGAAAAAGCACTCAATCAGTTTATTAAGGGAAAGCTCTGAGCTCCCAGCCCTTGCCTGACCCATTCTCTGCTTGCAGCACTCACCTCTTTGCATGCTAGTCATACACAATGCACTCGCTTTCTGTCCTCTCTCCCTCCTAGAATGCTAACTCCAGGGTGCAGGTGTCTGCCACCTCTTTTCCTCTTTGCTATATTACCAATTCTTGGCACAAAGTCGATACTCAGATTTGTTTGATTACTGTGTGAATGTACACATGCCTGACTGAATGTGTGCATACACTCATGTATTAATGTAATACACGCACGCGCAAATGAACGAATAGATGCAGCCATGAGAGAATGAAATGGGGATGTAGGGATGGCACAGGTTCTCGGGGACTGGAAAGGCTGCACACTCCCCTCGTGCTTCCATCTGCTGCCCTAGTCTATTTTCCCACTGAGGTTTTGGGCCAGGGTCTGAAGCCACACAAAAGCATTAGCAGATGG